GATGGCTGCAGCTCCTTTGACGTTGCGTTGGAGGTGGGCAGGAAGATCAAATCTTTGCAAGTTGCCAAATGCGAGGCATCTTCAGAGAAGGATAAAAAACTCGATTTCAACCAAGTTCTCGCGCCTCATTTCTCGTGGAACTGGAGTTGTCTTTGTGTTGGGACCGTCATGGACCATTTCTTTGGAAACATACTATGACTTTGATGTGGCTGGCTATTGAGATCATCTGTTTTGGTCCGACCCTTTGGATGTTTCGGGAATTCTTGAATTGGCCCTCAAAACCCTTGAAGCGCGTTGGTTTTTGCTGGGGCCATGATGGCCATGTCAGGAAAGACATCTTCGATTTCATCATCTCGAAATTAGGGAGCCTCAGGCGGATGGATAAGCAAATTCGAGCGCTCATGGCTGAAATGCTGATGCGAAATCTGTCCAACGTGGAACGGGCAACGGGAAATCTTGTGGACAGCCTGGGCCCAGTCGTGACTCTGAATGAAGAGTGTTTTCAATCACATGTTGCTTCAGGAATCCTCCAGATCTATTCAAGTTACAGTAAATTTTGTACACATTGTGACTTCTTGAGCACGCACAAGACCGTGACTCGTCCAATGGAGTTCACCCACTTGAGCAACTAGCAGTGAATCAGTTCTGGCATGTCATAGTTGTTTGACCAGTAACCCAAAGATTGTGCTGCTGGTTGCTCAACGTGTTTTGCAATGTTTGATGCGTCTTGAACCGAAAAATACAATTTTTTGCCCTCACCTGCACATTTGCTGGAATTTAAACATGTCACAAGTCAGGAACCCCTGCCTGGAAAGCTTTCAACAGGTCATGCTCTATGGCTGGCGGGAACCTAAGCTGGAAAGGGGACACGACCCCAAACAGATGGACATTTTTGACTGCACTTCGACAGGGATTTCCCTTTTTCCAAATTTATGCACATGGCAGAGAGCCGCCGCCACTCATCACATTTGGAATTTTCACAATCAGAATCACATCTGACTTTAATGACTTTGGCCACCGGTCTTTGTTGGCTTCACATTGGGGCTTAGCGGCTTTTGTTTTCCGGCATGTTGTCAGGGGTGTGGTTCTCTCTGAGGATCATCCACCTGGATTGTGCACGACTCGCCATCAGGGACAACTGGATGGAAAGTCTGGCTCTGAAGGCCACCAATATTTGGGCAATGGGATAGGATGGCATAGGGCAGGACCAAGCAGGATAGGATATAGGCTTAGGATCAGGCCACTTATAGATGCGTAGATCGGAGTTGGAACCTTCTCATTGAGAAAGCGGTTATAAGAAGCTGCGCAATGAAATTTGACATTATTGAGCCTGTGCTAGGCTATACCCACTAATGTTGGGTTATCCACCATTTTTGTTGGTTACATCCGCATGTTTACTCATCTCATCATATCGCTTTCATGTGTATTTCCCTGTCCATGTGCCGAGTTGACCTCTGTCTTTGTGGCGAATGATGAACCCACTCAGTGGCAGTTCTCACATCGGCGTCAGGCGCCCAAAGCTGTGGCCGCAGCGTTGCACCAAAGAGTGGCCAAAGACGCCACCCCCAGGATCGGCGACGTGTTTTTTTCCGTAACGACGAGTCGGTGTAACGGACGGGGTGAGGGAAAAAAACTTGGGAGGTGCAAGCGTTGACCCCATGAGCAGGTTGAGGTCCTTAGGGCATAGTTGTTGCAACAATGATATTATGATAATCATTGAATAAACAATATAGGAATAATGACTGGGACACAGCGGGACACAATCACAATAGAAACGATGATAAACACCTGAGGCTTGCAGACAACAACCATCACATGAAGTTTGACATGCTTTAACCAACGACGCTATTTTTTAAACAGGGGGTTAGTCTTATAGAAATGGGGTATATCTATACGATTCTATACCATCCTATACCTATTAAGTCTTTTAATGATGAGAAATAAATCCTATCTGTGGTATTGTTTCCAGATGTGCATGGTCATGTTTCGCACTTTCAGGACACCAAAGGATGTCCATTGATTGCCCTTGAACAGCAACCTGGAGCAAAACAATTGAGCCGGAGCCGAACCATGATGTTCTCATCCATTGCGGCAGGAGCTGCTCAGATTGTCATGTCGCGCATAGTTTTGACTTCGTATTGTAAGTGGAATTGAAAGCGGATTTCAAGATGTTCAGGCGCAAGCGTGTTTTGAGCTTCTTGATTTCTCGTCGGAAGCAGCATGTATACATTATAATTCATTTAAAAAATGGTTGATTCATCATGGTTTATTTTTCGGAGCTTGTGGCCACACGCGTGGTTTGAAGGTTTCCTCGGATCTCATGAGCCATGTTGTGTTTGTGGAATGGGCCGTCTTTCATATCAGATCAAGACTGCAGGCAAGCAGGACGGAACTCACTAGAGATGTTTTTGGTCCGGTGGATCAATGTGCTCCTGGTTAGTTGCTGGATAACTCGCCCAAATCATGGGTCACTCAGAGCAAATGCCTTGAAACTCTTGAAATATTACTGTCTTTCTCCAACCCAAGCCTAACAATTTGAGGAACAGCCGGCGGACAGCGATGCAGAAGTGGTGGTGCAGTATTTGAGCAAGCGACTCGGCAAAAGGAAATGTGTGCTGACACTGATGGCTTTCTTTTTCTCCTTAGGCCATCACCGTGATTATCCGATCCTCCTCATTTTCCCATGCTTCAGGAATGCCAGCAGCTGGAGCATCGTTGTTGTTTTTCAATGGGTGTAAGGGCCGTCCTGGAACCTACTGCCTGAAGTTTCATTGGACAGGGTGAACTTGCCCTTCCCTCATCCTTTAGTGGCTCTTGTGGTTGACATGAGCATGCCGCGCCCGGTTCAATGTTTTGAAACTTCAACAGTTTAGCTGCACTGCTCAAGAACTTCTGCAGTACTGTGCAACCATGTGCAACCCATGTATCACAGCTCCATTGCTTGGCGTTCCCCTGTCCTGAAAGTTAGATATGATAGACAGCTACACCGGCTGAATCATCCAGATGAGCACATGGACATGAGCCATCACAGAATATTGAACCATAGGATGCAGCAATCAACATCCAACAACATGTACCATGAAATACGGTGAGCACAACGCCTGCTCTTCACCAGCTATGATGGTTGTGCTCGATGGCATGATGGCATCGTTTCCGCACATGAAATGCCACAATATGCCGCTTGAAATGCCATGATGCGCCATGCAGTTGCTCTTGGTGACGTTTCTCTTCGTTTGTGCCTCTGCTGAGCTGCGTGTCTCGAAGCGGAGCACGTTCACTGGACAGGAGAGCACCTCGGCTGCGGTTTTCGGGGCTTGGTGGTGGTTGCTACCAAGCAATTGAGTTCATGCGCCAGACTGCCCAGATGCCGGGCTCGGACCAGGCCGTTTCTTTGGAACAAAGGTTTCTACCTCCTCGTAAGTTGGGGAGATTGCGTAACAGGCATAACATATTCAATATAAAATATCATTAGATTCATTAGATGCCAGACTATGCAACAGACACCTGAGCTACGTTTTTTTTTAATATAAAAGGGTTTATATAGAGTGTAAACTGGATGTTGCTTTTGGTGTGGTTTTACCTGGCTGGCGTAAGGATTGCGTAGGATTGGCGTAGGCATTTTTCAAGGTTCCAAATATCTTCTGGTTTGCGTAGGCAACATTTCATTGTATTTCAAATGCTCGTACATGATCGGCGTTGGAATCTCACGCTTTAAAATTGATTCAATGTTATCCACAAAAGGTTCAAAGGCACCGGGTTCATTCATGGATAGTTGTCTATACGAACAAACCGTGGAACTTGCCCGGAAGAGCAGATATACAAAGGCAGCGGAGCAGCTTAAACCGTCTTGATGTTCTTCGCTTTCCACCTGCTTGTTGCTAGATGGGCCATATTAGCTCTTGCTTAAGAGGAATGTTTCACCAGATTCCTGCCAGGAGGCCCCTGGAACAGGCGTAGCCTTCGCGTAGACTTCGCGTAGGCACCGCGTAGGCTCGGGTGCCCGGACTGACCACCAGCCCACGTCCGCACCAGTCCATATTCGACACATTGAACCGCCCAGAGCTGCCATTCACCAAGCTAGCGACAGTCGAACACGTCGCTTGGCTTGACTCCAGCATAGTCAAAAGTTACTAGCTGAGTCTTCAGTGATTTATCATGATTTATCCACCAGATGTTTAGTGTGCGCTTTGGGACCTGGTTGCTGGTGCGGCTGCTGCACATGGGTGTGGCTGCAAGATGTCTATGGGCGCTTTGGAGCCTGGGCGCTCGTGCTGCAAAAATGTGAATGGGACTGTGGTCGCGTAGTCAAAAGTTCCGTTTCCAACCTTCCAAAAGCAAACAGAAGTGTGACGGCGTAGGCAAAAACATACATTGTGGCGTCGCTTTATGCGTGCGTTGGGCCTGCGTAGGCACACCTTCAAAGGGATGAGCCGCGTAGGCTCCCACTGTGGCCGCGTGGGCATTGCGTAGACAGTGGCGTAGGCAGCACAGGAGTAGACGGACCCAGACAACAAAAAAAAACACAGCTCACCTGTTGATGTGTTGCCTTGCCACAATATCTACTTTGTCTTTAGCCAGTGAAGTTTGTCTCTTAATTGGCCATCAACAGAAGCTGCAACTTGCCACTAACAACTTCCACTATTTTTTTATTTGGTGAAAAGGCTTGGTGCCGCCGGACGCACAAGAATCTTGTCCTGTCAGCTTTGTTTGCTTGGACTGTTGGATTTACTTTGCCACCCTGCAAGGTAGCCACCCTGTGCCCCATCCGGCAGATGGATCTAGTGCCAGACATCTGCAGGCGGGCCGTGCAGTGCACAGTAATAATCGATGTTTCGGCGTGTTCTGTGTGATTTTTCATATCTTTTAATGTTTTTTCTATTTATATACAGTCCTGGAAATTTCAAGACTGACATGTTAGGATACTTCTGACGATTCTGTTATATGATGTCTTTGGGTATCTTCCAGGCATAATTGCTGGAGACACACATCACCAAGTTGTGCAGGTTTTGTGCAGTCCCCACTTGCAGGACTGTGAGGTGATTGGCTGGGTCGAACTTTGCGAACGGAAGAAGTTGACGGCCGGGGCGTGCTTTCAACTCGAGTGGCTCTGTCACAGGGGGGAATTGATGGGTTTGTTGCAGGTTGGCAAAGTCATTGTTGGGCCAAAGTTTTTTCGACATGTATGGGGAGTATTGCGCTGAAGAATGCTGAAGGCTTCAATGGTTTGAAGACATATGCTTACAATTTTATCAATGTAGGGTGCCTGCACAAACCTCGGAGCCCTGCAAAAACTGAGGCCCACAACGGCAGCTCCACCCTGCGAGCTGCAAGGGCCCCATGGGGCACCGGCGCAGCTGCGGCCAGCGACTGCCGGGATTTTGACCTTGACCTCCGGGGAGCTACGCATCACCGGGTGCCTTGGAGGAATTCAGCTCCGAGTCGTTCGATCAGCTGAGGTGGGGAAGTTGGGAGGCACTCAAGTTGGATCGCTCACAAACCAGTTTACCTTTTTGGTCGTCTTGAAGTGCCTAGCTGGCTTCGCTCTTCATATAGCGGAGTATCTTGTTGGGTGTCAACAATCTACATCATGCAGATGTAAACCAAGGCATCTCAGGTTCTGCTAACAACCTACCCCAGGTAAATTTTGACACGCTGGCTTCAGTGCAGAAACTTCGAATGCTCCCAAGGCAAATTCAGATGACGTCGCTCCGCCTGGCAGCCAAGAACCCTGCCTGCACAAGGGGCTGAACTCAGCAGGTTCAGAGCCTGTTGCGGTTGTTGTATATAGCAAAATGTTTTTCTTATATAGAATGCTTCACAAAGACACGCCGAGAATGGCACGGGAGTTGGATGTATTTAAGCATTCAGAGTTCAGAGTACCATGTGAGACCAGATTTTTTTCTGCAAAAAAATCAGCTGAGTGAGGACTGTGAACTTTGCAGATGCTCACGTGGAAGCGTGGCATGAAGGTCCATCGGATCCAAATGCTACCGCGCTTGGCGGCGCCTTTTTCAGCATGGGGTCATTCACTTTGACCAGGTCCCGACTGACTGCTCCTTGGATTGTTTTGGCAACCAGGCTTTCAATTTCCGGTGTCAGACATGGACTTGGAAGTTGGATGAAGTTCGTGGAGATGCATGGTCTTTGGACCTGGATATGGTCTAGAAGTTGTTGATCAGTAGACATGCTGCAGATACCCATGTGATGCAACATCCAACGAAGGTGAGAGGCTCTGCAGCGGCAGCTGGTGGTGGTGGCTTCGCAGCGGGCGGAGACCTGACCCTGGGCATTGCAGAGCGCAGGTGTAGTCGTTGGATGTAGATGGGCTATGACACATGGTGGTATCTGAGAATTTCTGATCCAGTAATTTGTCAGTTTTGGATCCACATGCATTCATTATATATTTGCTGAGGAAATTCCATGTCACCACAACATGGTGAGAACGTGCCAGCTACTCGTAGGAAGTGTTCATTCTGCCAGAGACGCTAGGGCTTGAGTTTTAGATTGTCGCTTGGGCCTTGGGCACTTCAGTATCTTCTGGCATTTCACCTTTCTTTTGAGACACAATTTTCCGTATCTTCCGGCATGTCAATTTTTGTTGGACATGTTTTTCCAAAAATGGATTTGTGAAATTCATGGCACATGCGACGGAGCTGTGGTCAACGGTGCAGCACTAGGAGATCCTTAGATCCTTTAGGAAGGCAGGCTGACTAAGGAGCAGCACGTGACACAGTCGAATTCAAAAAAGGCCATGGATTGCAGAAGGGGATTTGTCATCGTTTGTTGTCCATGGGAAAATGAATGTGGAAGCTGTAAAGGTTTTGCTGATCACAGAGAGAATGAGAGTGGAGCCAAAGCATGTCAACGCAGCGGAGAGGTAAGAGATTGTTGGTGCTTCCCTTGTTGCATACGCCAAGAACATGTGAATGCTTTTCTGGATGCTCTTGGCATACAAGATGTAATATTCATTGTGTTGTGGTGCGTATGACCCTTGTGATGTTCATGCCTTCAATGAAATGACATTCTGTGCCCAAGGAGTGTGTTCCAAGACTCTGAAGTCGTGATCGAGAACGTTTCAGCAAAGTCTGGTGCTGGCTTCGTTGTCATGGGAGATGCTTACGTTTTTGTGGGGCACTCAGTGCATTCGCTGCCATTCTGGAGAGCTGTGTAAACAGTCTTATTCACAGCATTGAAAGTTCCCATGAGTTTCTTTTGACTCATGTTGCTGTGAAAGACATATCTCTATTGATTTGTTTGTTCTCTCAACTGACCCTTGTGCGATTGCTTATTGGGTCAGGACAACTCAATGATCTTCATTCAGAATGCGAGATCCACCGGATACGGAGGTGGCTTCTTAACCAGAAAACGTTTGCGAGTGGCACACAGCTCAGCTGTCAGCCTTCAGAACGTGATTGCGCAGAAGCATGGAGGAGGTTTCTTGGTCATGGGAGAGGTTGAGATAGCTGGGAATTCGACAGTCAAGATTTCCAACAGCCGTGCTGAATCAGGAGATGGAGGAGGTTTGTACACTTGGAAGGGCTTGAAGGTCTCCAACGGCTCAAGGCTCGTCATTCGGAATGCGGCTGCTGGGAATTCTGGAGGAGGATTCTTTGCCAGAGGCAACACTACCATCAGAAGGTCCACCGTCAACATTCAAAATGCCACGGGCCAGGAGAATGGTGGAGGATTTTGTGCATCTGATGAGGTTGTCATCGATGAGATGTCAAGCGTCAGCATTTCCACTTCAAGATCGAGATTTGGCGGAGGCCTCCATACGGACGAGCGCTTGCAGGTGACCAGCGGCTCAGCTGTCAGCCTTCAGAACGTGATTGCGCAGGAGTATGGAGGAGGTTTCAATGCCCTTGGAGGGGTTGAGATAGCTGGGAATTCGACAGTCAAGATTTCCAACAGTCGAGCTGAAGCCAAAAATGGAGGAGGTTTTAACACTGAAAAGGGCTTGAAGGTGTCCAACGGCTCAAGACTCATCATTCGGAATGCGGCTGCTGGGAAATATGGAGGAGGATTCTATGCCAGAGGCAAGACTACCATCAGCAGGTCCACCATCAGCATTCAAAATGCCACGGCCAAGCAGAATGGTGGAGGATTTTGTGCATCTGATGAGGTTGTCATCGATGAGATGTCAAGCGTCAGCATTTCCACTTCAAGATCGAGATTTGGCGGAGGCCTCCATACGGACGAGCGCTTGCAGGTGACCAGCGGCTCAGCTGTCAGCCTTCAGAACGTGATTGCGCAGGAGTATGGAGGAGGTTTCAATGCCCTTGGAGATGTTGAGATTGCTGGAAATTCGACAGTCAAGATTTCCAACAGTCGAGCTGAAGCAAAAAATGGAGGAGGTTTTGACACTGAAAAGGCCTTGAAGGTGTCCACGGGCTCAAGGCTTATCATTCGGAATGCGACAGCCGGAAATGATGGAGGAGGATTCTATGCCAGAGGCAAGACTACCATCAGAAGGTCCACCGTCAGCATTCAAAATGCCACGGCCCAGGAGTTTGGTGGAGGATTTCATGCATTTGATGAGGTTGTCATCGATGAGATGTCAAGTGTCAGCATTTCCACTTCAAGATCGAGATTTGGCGGAGGCTTCCATTTGGAGAGACGCTTGCAGGTGACCAGCGGCTCAGCTGTCAGCCTTCAGAACGTGATTGCGCAGGAGTATGGAGGAGGTTTCAATGCCATTGGAGAGGTTGAGATAGCTGGGAATTCGACAGTCAAGATTTCCAACAGTCGAGCTGAAGCCAAAAGTGGAGGAGGTTTTAACACTGAAAAGGGCTTGAAGGTGTCCAACGGCTCAAGGCTCGTCATTCGGAATGCGAATGCTGGGAAATATGGAGGAGGATTCTATGCCAGAGGCAAGACCAGCATCAGAAGGTCCGCAGTCACCATTCAAAAGGCCACGGCCCAGCAGATTGGTGGAGGGTTTTGTGCAGCTGATGAAGTTGTCATCGATGAGATGTCAAGCTTCAGCATTTCCAGCTCAAGATCGAGATTTGGCGGAGGCTTCCATACGGAGCGCTTGCAGGTGACCAACAGCTCAGCTGTCAGCCTTCAGAATGTGATTGCGCAGGAGCAGGGAGGAGGTTTCTTGGTCCTTGGAGAGGTTGAGATAGCTGGGAATTCGACAGTCAAGATTTCCAACAGCCGTGCTGAATCAGGAGATGGAGGAGGTTTTGCCACTGAAAAGGGCTTGAAGGTGTCCAACGGCTCAAGACTCATCATTCGGAATGCGGCTGCTGGGAAATATGGCGGAGGATTCTACGCCACAGGCAAGACTACCATCAGCAGGTCCACCGTCAGCATTCAAAATGCCACGGGCCAGGAGAATGGTGGAGGGTTTTATGCATTTGATGAGGTTGTCATCGATGAGATGTCAAGCGTCAGCATTTCCAGCTCAAGATCGGGAGACCAGGGCGGAGGCTTCCATGCGGACAAGCGCTTGCAGGTGACCAACAGCTCAGCTGTCAGCCTTCAGAACGTGATTGCGCACAGGTTTGGAGGAGGTTTCGATGCCCTTGGAGAGGTTGAGATTGCTGGAAATTCGACAGTCAAGATTTCCAACAGTCGAGCTGAAGCAAAAAATGGAGGAGGTTTTAACACTGAAAAGGGCTTGAAGGTGTCCACGGGCTCAAGGCTTATCATTCGGAATGCGACAGCCGGAAATCATGGAGGAGGATTCTACGCCAAAGGCAAGACTACCATCAGCAGGTCCACCGTCAGCATTCAAAATGCCACGGGCCAGGAGAATGGTGGAGGGTTTTGTGCATTTGATGAGGTTGTCATCGATGAGATATCAAGCGTCAGCATTTCCAGCTCAAGATCGAGATTTGGCGGAGGCTTCCATGCGGACAAGCGCTTGCAGGTGACCAACAGCTCAGCTGTCAGCCTTCAGAACGTGATTGCGCACAGGTTTGGAGGAGGTTTCCATGCCCTTGGAGAGGTTGAGATAGCTGGAAATTCGACGGTCAAGATTTCCAACAGTCGAGCTGAAGCAAAAAATGGAGGAGGTTTTAACACTGAAAAGGGCTTGAAGGTGTCCAACGGCTCAAGACTCATCATTCGGAATGCGGCTGCTGGGAAATATGGAGGAGGATTCTATGCCAGAGGCAAGACTACCATCAGAAGGTCCGCAGTCACCATTCAAAAGGCCACGGCCCAGCAGACTGGTGGAGGGTTTTGTGCAGCTGATGAAGTTGTCATCGATGAGATGTCAAGCGTCAGCATTTCCAGCTCAAGATCGAGATTTGGCGGAGGCTTCCATACGGAGCGCTTGCAGGTGACCAACAGCTCAGCTGTCAGCCTTCAGAACGTGATTGCGCAGAAGCAGGGAGGAGGTTTCTTGGTCCTTGGAGAGGTTGAGATAGCTGGGAATTCGACAGTCAAGATTTCCAACAGCCGTGCTGAATCAGGAGATGGAGGAGGTTTTGCCACTGAAAAGGGCTTGAAGGTGTCCAACGGCTCAAGACTCATCATTCGGAATGCGGCTGCTGGGAAATATGGAGGAGGATTCTACGCCACAGGCAAGACTACCATCAGCAGGTCCACCGTCAGCATTCAAAATGCCACGGCCAAGCGGTACGGTGGAGGGTTCAGTGCTGAAGGAGTCGCAAGTAGGAGGTCGTGCAGATGGTCAAGTGCTTCTTTCATCTGAATCCAACTTGGTGGTGAAGGATGCCCAAGGTCTCGACAATTCCAGTGTGCTGACTGCAGCTTGCCTCCATTTGCATGATCGATCACACATTCTCTTTGAAGATGCCGTTGGCGGCCATGGGGTGGAGCTGCAAAATAGTGGATGCTCTGACGTTTGCTCAAACACCACCTTCCATGTTGCAACGGATGCAGCCCTCAACGCCAGTGGTCGCTTGAGCTCCGGTTTTCTCTCCCTTGCATCCTGCCCGAATGAGAAGGTACGTCTGTCAGGCATCCACCTGCACTCCTGGTCCAGCGCGTTGCTCAGCACCCGGCCCAGTTCCGTGATAATCGGCCAAGTGACTATCGACTATGAACCACCTATCGACAATTTGCAGGTCCTGGCTGCCAAGGACGGGCTCAAGGTGTCAGCAGGCGACAGTGTGGGACGACGGCTTCTTCAAGCTGCGAGAGATTTTGGATGTTCGGATTTTGACTAACCTGTCAGAAAAAGTAGGGACCAAGTTATGTTTGTCTCTGGACTCTAGTTTTCCAATTAAATTGCTTCATGTTTCTCCCCACCTGCCAGGTGAGGGTTGTTAGATTTTATGTCAGTTGCCTGCTCCTCCTCCTCCTCTCCTCCTCCTCTCCTCCTCCTCCTCCTCGTCGTCCTCCTCGTCCTCCTCGTCCTCCTCGTCCTCCTGCTCAACTGCGACCCGCGATCCACAGTGTTCTCTGTCGGACCTCAACCACGACCATCGACGCCCAGTGTTCCCTGCCGGACCTCAACCACGACCATCCCCACCCAGTGTTCCCTGCCGGACCTCAACCACGACCATCCACGCCCAGTGTTCCCTGCCGGACCTCAACCGCGAGTATCCACGCCAAGTGTTCCCTGCAGCATGCCGGACCTCAACCACGACCATACACGCCCAGTGTTCCCTGCCGGACCTCAACCGCGAGTATCCACGCCAAAAGATATGCCACATAGAGTGCCAGAAGATATGCCAGATAGAATGTTAGAAGATATGCCAGATAGAATGCCAGAAGGTATGCCAGATAGAATGCCAGATAGAATGTCAGATAGAATGCCAGAAGATATGCCAGATAAAGTGCCAGAATGTTTGGCAGATAGAATGCCAGCAGATTTGCCAGATAATATGCCAGAAGATATGCTAGATAGAATGCCAGATGGAATGCCAGAAGATTTGCCAGATAATATGCCAGAAGATATGCCAGATAGAATGCCAGATGGAATGCCAGAAGATATGCCAGAACATATGCCAGAAGATATGCCAGGAGATATGCCAGAACATCTGCCAGAAGATATGCCAGAACATCTGCCAGAAGATATGCCAGGCAGAATGCCAGAAGATATGCCAGATCGAATGCCAGAAAATATGTCAGATAGAATGCCAGAAGATTTGCCAGTAACAAAATGTATAAATGTCATGGTGGGGATCACACGAAGTAAAGTAATTGAAAATCGGCAATTTGTTGAACTAAAGTCGCAGCAGGATGGCTTTGACATCGACTCTTTGACGGTTTCCTGTCGGAACTGCCCATGGGGTGTGACTTTCAACGCTACGAAGGATAGAAGTCTGAAAGCCGTGAGCTCTGAATATCTCGAATGCTCCAAGACCATCACAGCGCCACTTGTTGTCACAAGTGTTGGTTCTCCTTTACCACCACCTTAGTTGGAGGATGTATGTTTGTTGATACTCGCATTATTTGTTGTCAAAACTATTTAGCCTCCCCAGTTTCTATACTCCAGGCGCTAAAACGGATTTCCACTGTATTCATATAGAACGATAGAGGTTTCAGGTGCAATTTGTTGCTACTCATATGTCTAACAAGTGTTTTGTACGTTCCAAGTTGCATGTCCGATATTTCCTGGAAACCGCGTTGAGGTCCAAAGGCCTGACGCAACGTTGCAATTGTTCCAACTACCAGTCCCTCAGCTCGCTGGTTCCTTTTTCTTTTTCTCAGTGTTAGCTTTCCTACCGATTGGTTTAAGGGCGAAACCATGCGAAGTCCACATGCTGATCAATTTCTAAGCCATGTGCCATATCAGCCATTCTTTTGCAAGATTTGGAAGACCTCGGATTTCCAGACACAGTTTAACACCCCAATTGTCTCTTCAATTTTTGATAGTTTTTTAGGGCTGAACACTGCTTGAAGCCCGCGGATGCCGGACGGAAGGATTGCAACCGAGCACTTTCGTGGTGTAGATATGGTGCCCTTGGAAAGCAGTTTCCAGACGTGCATGTTCTGCAGCTCGTCCTGCAACATGTTTATCCCTTGGAACATCTTGGAAACCTTTGGCCCTTTGGGATTTTGTGCGCAATCAGTTTTAGCATATTTTGACCCCTGCCCTGTTTGTAGCTGAGGCAAGCCTCACTTCCATTTTCAGAATGACGATTGCCGGAAGTGTGGAGTCTTCAATGCTTGGTCTGATGGAAAGAAGGATGTTTGTCACGTTCTGCCACGCCAGAACTCAGCAGAGTTGTTCGCACTCTTGACAGGTGCAGCTGTCTTGGTCATTTTAACCTTCCTTGCTTTTGAGATTTTGCATGCTCCTTTGATGATCGTGGATGCGAAATCGTATTTGGACGCAAGGCAAGCTGAAAGCAAAACCATTTTCACGTTTTCCGTGCAGGGGCCGATTGTTGATCTTCCCAAAAGCCTGGCACGATTGGTGAACCGGCGGGTGCATTTTCGGGCAAGGGGAACAGGATTGATATGGCTAGACTACGACCAGAAGAAGTCCAACACAATCAAAGTTCGAAGTATTGCACGCAGAAAGCTTTTGCTGCAAGACACGAGTCCCCCGTTTTCTTGCGCTACGTGCAAGGGTTCTTTGCACGCCGCTGATTTTGCTTACCTGCTTATCTTGCTCACTGCATGCATATTTGTTGGTGCAATGCTGCCTGTCATCATCAAGGTAGCAGTCATATCCGGAAACGGTGTGGGACATGTCTTCGCCGCTTTGGCCCGCAAAGAGATTTGTTTTTGTGCATACGTGAATCTAATCAGGTGTTTTTTTTGAGAGTTTTAATTGGGTTTTGTGCTTTGCCGTGATGGAAAGACACTCTGCGCCAAGGTTACTGCAATTTATGTGTCTCTTCCTCTGGTTGCTGTTGCTGCGCTGCTGCACTTCCCAATCGCGTGGCTGATCCAACGGTTATATCGTAGAACGTCATTTTCGGAGGCTTTGGATGAGTACCAGAGGCAGATCAAGTGCAAGCCATTTCCAGGGCCTGATGGAACCCATCCTCGCAACCAGGGCTTGCAGGTTCTGACTTTGCGCGGCTTGTGGATGCACTTTGAGAGTTTCTCTTCTCACCAGCAATGCTTTCGTCGAGCTCGTGTGCTCACATAACTAGCTCGTTTCTCATTATAATGCTCGGATCTGAATGGATAGACAGAGTACCTTCTTTTTGTTCACGTCAGTAAAGAATCCTAAGAGAAAACACATGTCCCAACTTGTTCAACTCAGGCTTTATTCTCGAGCGCAATATGCACTTTGTGGTTGCCAACATAGTCAGGCCCCTGACTCAAAGCAAAGGAGTTTCCTTTGTAAGTCTTTGGGGTGGCAGGCAGGTGGATTACTTTGTGTCACTTGGCATGCTTTTGGCAAAGTTGTTTTTGAATTGTTTTCTTCCAACGTTTGCGCACCTTTTGCCCAAGCCCCTCCAAGCCTTCCCTGCGTTTTTTGGAAGGTCCCATTCCTGGGGCACCAGCTTTCCGCACTTCGTGCATTCCATCCAATGCCATGCGTTGTCCAAAGAGGGCCCCACTTCTTGGATTGATGCAGCATATTGGATATGTTCGTTTGCAACTTGGAGGAGAACACTAGCCCATTTTCGAGAAGGGCAGAATGGCCGAATTAACAAAAGACAGAGATTTCATCCTTGGGTGGGCCGGGGGGGATGATGATTGTTTAAATGTGGGGTACCATTTTGGCTCAAAGTAACCCCAAATTTGGTCCCACTTAATAGGTGGGGGTATGTCAGGGTTGATTCCGAGCAGCCATGTTTTAGATAGTTGGGCGAGTCTGGATGATGCGTGTCAATGGGCTGGACTCAGTCAGGGCGTTGTGCGATCTTGGGCAAGGCAGTTAGGTGATGCAAACCTTTCTTCTTTACAAGTGATTGCAGTCATGCCCATGGAGACATTGAGGTTAGCCATGAATAACGCTGTTAGAGGTGGTGTGGCGCTGACTGAGATTGAAAAGGCCCAGTTGACATTGCTGATTAACGCCGTGAAGGCGAAGTTTGGCATAGCATTTACCGGTCTCACTGGAGGGGTGGCTGATACAGCGAACTCGAGCAGGCCGGCGCACGGTGCTGCCAGCCCATCTCAAAACAAGGTGAAGATAAAACTGTCACAGGTGATAGATCAAGGTTCTGACGCTGAAGTAGAGCAGCTTCCTCACGGCACTTTGCAGCAACTGCGTCAGAAGTATGTTCTTGTAGAAGGTGATGTACCACTGGAATCCGAAGAAGTGACAGACTCACAGCTTACTTGTTTAGACTGGAAGCTTTCAATGGACCTCCCACCGTTTGTTGACATGGGCGTCTGGGGCCCCTACGGTGACAGACTCGCACGACAGATGAAATTTGTCAACCAAACCTGGAGAGACGGAGCATGGAAGATAGTAGAAGTTCCAGGAGCTTCTAGTTATGATGCTTGGTTGGAAGCTTGGAGGATCTTTCGCACCGCGGCCATCATGTTGGAGATGGCCACTAGTGCAGTTCTCGATAGGTATGCTGCTGAATTTAAACAGAGAATCCAACAACACCCAGGTGTATGGCATCTTGCAGCACAAGCCGATATCAGGTGCAGATCCGAATTTTGGGGTCAGGAGAGACGACGACAAGAAGCCTTTAGGGCCTCGCATCCCCAAATGTCAGCTTACAATCCCAAACAGCCATGGAACTCAGTCATCAAAGCCTCCGCCTGCAGCTCTGAGTTTTGGGATAGAGAATTCACCAAGCCAGCCATGCTCTACCAGATGAACGGTCCACGCAGCATGCCAGCCTTCCCGTCTCCACCCACTGGACCGGGCTTTGGACCAGGGGCAGGCTCAACATCAGCCAGAGATGGTGTGCAAACATCGAGGAAAAGGCCGTTCGACCCTCAGAGAAAGGATGGCCGCTACTTCAAGTCCCGCAGCGGGGTGAACATTTGCTTCGATTGGGCTTGGAATCCAGATGGTTGTGACAATGAGAAATGCAAGCGTGAAATGGCGCACTGCTGCGAGTTTTGCCGTGGGCCGCACAGGACGATCGATTGTCCTCAGGTGCCTGGTTGGAAGCCCCCAGACAAGAACAGTGAGAAACCCAAAGGACGGGGCCGAGGCAAGGGCCGCGGCCGCACTCGTCAGTTGTGACAAAAGGAACCTGGGCAGCCAGTTCGATCTCAGGTGAGCCTGTCTTCAGAGAAGTTGGAACATCTGAGAAAGAAGCTGGCTGCCAAACAGGCAGAATTCGTTTTGAGCAAGTCACCTCAAGCACCCAATGGCTGTCCTGAACAATTGCTGGCCAGCAGGAAATGCACTGGAGCTGACGATGCCTTCATGGAACTCCGTGCAGGCAAAGCTGAATTGATGTTAGCAGTGAAGCGAGCCGTTGGTGGAAGCGTGGAGGCAATTTTAGATTTGACACAAGCCACTGCTTTCAAGGATCTCAAGAAGAAGATCAAATCACGAAAGGTGCGGTGGATCCATCTTGCGCCCCCATACCGCACTTTCACCAAGGTGCGCCGCAAAGACAGGTACACAAAATGCAGAAAACTGAGAAGCCGCAAACAACCTGGAGGGCTAGAGCCCAAAACGCGTTCAGTACGCGAAGCAAACTTGGTGGCGTCACGGGCAGCGCAGCTTGCACTGCTTCAATGGAAGGCGGGCGGCGCGTTTTCTTTGGAAAGCCCGGCGGGATCATTGCTTTGGGAATACAAGCCGGTGAAGCAGCTGGCATCCTTGAAGCACGTTTTATTGCTGTTTGGCGACCAATGCTGTTTCAATGGAGAACGTGTCCGGCCGACAGGCTGGCTGACGAACGCATCGTTTCTGCAAACCCTGGAGAGAAAATGCCCCGGGGCCCCACTGCACCATCACTCACCATTTGAGGCTCCTGCCGCTTCTGAATACCCTCAAGGGCTTTGCGAACACCTAGCGGCTTGTTACAAGAAATTTTTGGAGGACCACCCGCAGAGGGGTGAGCCATGGCAACTGCAGTGGACACTGGACGGGGACACCAATGCTTTGTTTTCGAAAAGGGTGAGGATCGAACAACAGAACGATGAAGCTATAGGTGGCCTCAGAAACCCTGCGAAAGCGCTGAAGAGATTGCCACAGTGGCCGCCGGTGGGGCGAGAAGTACGCTCCACTATTGAGGCAACACTCCAGAGATGCTCTGATCTGTTTGATTTGCGGCAGTATGTTGGCAGCGATGAGACACCGGACCTGGAAGCTGGGTTAACATTGCTACAAGCTGCTCTACACCGCAAGTTTGGGTTCGGCTCTAAGGCGCCCGGCCTTTGGGGAGGAGCGTTGGAAAGATTGGTGACGCTGACGTCAGACCCTGACACGGAAACCGCGACCTGGCCTAGGTTGGGCACACCACTTGGAATTGTCGAACCAATACGTCCATCCAATATTTTCCCACTGTTGGCCGATGATGATGTAGAGCATGCCGCTCCCTATGAAGACCTTGCCTTGGAAGGCGCCTGGGCAAATTACAAGTCCTATGATGAAAATAGGGAGGAGGCAGAAGCTTTGTTTGACATTGAACTAGAAAAGGGCTTTGTGGAGTGGTCGCCAAATCTGGCGAGCTTGGAAGCCAAATACGGCCGTTTGATCCCATCGGCCATTGGGGTCGTCGTGAAGCAGAAGCCTGGAGCAAAGAAGAAAGTCCGCCTAGTGCATGATCTCCGCCGCAGCTTGGTGAACGAGCAAATCGCTTGCCCTGAGCGTTTGATTTTACCACGACTGCGAGATGTTGTTTCAGACATCCTTGATTTGCTGGAGTGCAAGGAACAGCATGAACATGTACTGTTGGTCACACTGGACTTTTCAGATGCTTTCAAACATTTACAAGTCAGGGATTCAGAAAAGCGATTTTTGGCGGGTCAGGCAAAGGGTGGCTTCTTTGTTTACAAGACTGTTTTATTTGGAGTGAAAACTGGTCCCCTTGTATGGGGAAGAATGGCAGCCTTGCTATCAAGGTCAACCCAGGCGCTCTTTTCTGACCGCTGCTACCGGCTACAAACTTTTGTTGACGACCCTATCATCGTGGTGAAAGGAACTGAAGAAGAAATACACAATATGATCAACACCACATTAGCTTGGTGGTCAGTGGTAGGGCTGAGAATTGCTTGGAGCAAGGGGGGCATCGGACACAGTGCGGAGTGGATTGGTGCCAACATCACCATCAACAATGAAGGCGATAAGGTGGTGGTGCAAGTCCCTGCAGACAAAATCAACGACTGGAAAGTCTTGGTTGATTCCCTTTTCACGAAGCCCCTGGTCTCACGGAAAAAATTGCAACAGCTCGCTGGCAAACTAAACTGGGCAGCTGGTTTTGTCCTGCAATTGAAGCCCTTTGTGAGAATGCTGCACGCTGCCCTGGCAAAGGCGGACTCTTCAGCGGCACAAACAAATTTTGTTTATTTCCGACAAGTTGAACCTGCTCTGACGTGGATCAGCAATTTTTTCGCTGGATTTATGCATGGACTTACTTGGGAAGTCAGGGCGCATTGGCGACACACATGCTCCCTCGACGTTCTGGTGGATGCCTCCCCTTGGGGAGGAGGAGCAATCAAAATAGACACAGATGGCACGCCAATTTCCACAATTTCCTTGAAATGGACAAGGCGAGATGAAGAGCTCACTGGAGCAAAAATAGGAGATGCAGGTTCGCAAGCCCTGTGGGAGGGTTACATGATGCTGAGAAGCCTCCAGTGTTGGATGACTGCGGCAATGCAAGGGTTTGTCAGGGTGCGAGGTGACGCACAAGGTGTTTTGGCATCACTCATCAAAAGATCAGCCAACGCACCCCTGTTAAACAGAGTAGTGCGTGAGATAGCTTTACACCTTGCTTTGAATTTCACTTCTTTAGAGGCACTGCATGTCTGGAGCGAAGATAACGTATGGGCTGACCAACTCTCAAGGGGAGAGTGCCCACCAGAGTTGCGGAGTGTCCCACAGGTGGTGGATCCACCAAACCTTTGGCGTTTTGAGTGAACAGGGTGCATGGATATCCTTTGTGCTGAGTTAGCGTTTGCATCAAGTCAAGCACAAGCCAGGGTTTCTTTGAACCAGTAGGGTTGCGCTCCGGCTCTCAGGCAGGATCGCGACGATCCCAACCACAACAAGTGCGCCAGGCCTGATTGATTCAGGGTGAAGGGGCGGGCTGTGGTGAGGGTGTCCCCTGCACAGCCGCCGTGTCACACACACGCGCACACACACACCACGGGTGATCACACACGAACACACACACACACACACACCACACACACAAAAAAAAAAGGGGGAGCGTGACAGCGTCTGAAGCGACAAGTTGGACATTCACTGGACTAGGACTCTAGAACATGACATTTCTGCATGCTGTCAACCATCTTGTGTGTTTTCATGTCCCTTCGCGAGTGAACATGGCCTTTACTTAGGAGCTTTCTGCTTGTTAGTGATCTGACTTGACAGTTGCTTGTGCCTTGATGTGTTTGGTTTTCTCTCCATTCTGTTTCCTTACATCGCGCTGTCGGCATCCTGCAGCAAAAAAAAAACTCCAGGTTTGAGGTTTCTTTTTCAGGCCCAAAATGAAGCGTTTAAGAGATGAACCAGACCGATCAGATTTCAAAGCCATGGCAGGGCTGCACGCCCAACCGGTGGTTCCTAGTGAAAATTCGGGAGTGTCGGCGACACAACAACTTGTAGACACTGGCATTCTCCCAATGCAGTATGCTTGCACTGAATGTGGCAACACTGTGAGAAAAGAGCAATCGTCCATACTTTGTCCTCACTGCGATGCAGGCCCCATCCATTCGTCTTGTGCTCTCCAACATATCTGTCCACTTGGCAGCAGGTATGCTGGGAATTTTATGGCTGAACAACCTGCTGACCAAGAAGGACAGCAGACACCGTCAGATAGTGAGGGCTCCAAAATGGAGGATGGGGAGGCAAGAGTTTTCTCAGCTTCAGCCCTGGCCAGACAGTTTGCAGAGCAAGCACAGTCGCTCCAAGTGCCACCTGCGGCAGCCATGATGGAGCGGCCTCCGGTCCCGGCTAAGCTGCGGCCCACAGAACCAACTGTACACCCTTACAGTAGGGGATCGCAAACCAAAGTTGGCCGGTTGGAACAGGATGCTGAAGCAGTCAGAACAGCTTTACAAGAATTTGACGAGGGCAAGTTTGCCAACTCCAATGCGCCCGCGCACAAATCCAGATCTCAATGGTGGCTTCAACGGGCGCAAAATGCTGGCATGGATGCTTACCCATTGACAAAATCATCTATTGACTATGCTGGGGCATTGCTGAAGGCTGCGGGCTACCGCAGCAGCGCCCAGTATTTTGCAGCCATGAAGCGTGAGCACGTACAGGCTGGCCACCCCTGGAACGACCAGCTTCAGCTGGCCACACGGGACGCGGTCAGATCCTGTGAAAGAGGAAAGGGCCCAGATAAGGTGTGCCCCAGTTTTGACTTGAGAAAGTTTGAGGACGTCCCGGAGATTGAGCCAGTTCCAGGTGGCCCCTTGCGACCGGTGGACACGGTCATCCTTTTCTCCTTGTTTGCATGCCGAGAAATAGAAGCAGCTCTTCGTTTGCGATCACAGGTGGTCCTGGAAGAGGGGCCCGGCTGTGGGACGGTAGCTTTACAACTGCCGGCCAGCAAAACTGATCCTAGAGGGGCCGGGGTCACAAGGCGTCAAGGTTGTCTCTGCTCTACTTCACGCAAACTTTGCCCGACTGCAGCAGCCAGAAGGATTTTAGACGCTGGGGCTGCGCAAGGAGCAGACAAGCCAGAAGATCCGTTCTTGATCACTGACACATCCAAGGCCCCAACAAAAGCGGCCATGGTAGCCACCTTTCGCAAGGTGGCTTTGCATCTTGGATGGACAGAAGAAGAGGCAAGCGCCCTCACCGGCCATGCGTTGAGGCCGACGGGTGCACAACACATGGCACGTCATGGCATTGAGCTTTTTCGAATCCAATTGTTTTGCAGATGGGAAAGTTCTACGGTATTGAAATACTTGCGAGACATTCCTTTAGAAAGTTCTGAAACCTGGCTCAGCGAAGACACTGCTAACGAATCCCTTTCATTGGAGGAGATCATTTTCTATGTTTATGAAAAGTTGAACAAAAGGTCGCTTGAAGTGGCCCACCAAGAAATAGAGGCCCTGGTGATTGAAACTTTAGAAGCACGCATGTCGATTGCATTGAATGAGCTGCATGAGACCAAGGAAGAGGCAAAGGCGATTCTAGAAGATTTCCGACAAAAGGAGTTTCAAGTGAAAGAGCAATGGGCGGCAGAGTTGACACGGAGTTTCCTCCCTAGATTTGTATGGAACAGAGGTTCCAACAAAGTTCATTTTGTCAAGAACGCGTTTTCTGCTGCGTGTGGCTTTGAGTTTAGAAATTCGAAAGATTTCTTGTTGACGAACATTTGTAGTGAAACGTATGCCAAGTGTGAAACACCGGCTTGCCAGAAGCACCTGCAATTATCCTGTCAGCTGCCTTGTTCGATGTGTGAATTGGTGGTGGTGAGCCTGGCTTGGCATTGTGCAGCCAGTGCATCACACATCTCACTGGTGCCAGGTACTGGGCTGGCACATGGAAGCACCCAGGCACCCTGGATCAGTGGCCACGCACGAGAAGGCGGGCATTCAGCCATCAAAACAGGGCAGGTGAGGGCGGGATTGCATGATTGAACTGTCGTTTGTTGAGAAGGGCAGAATGGCCGAATTAACAAAAGACAGAGATTTCATCCTTGGGTGGACCGGGGGGGATGATGATTGTTTAAATGTGGGGTACCATTTTGGCTCAAAGTAACCCCAAATTTGGTCCCACTTAATTCCCCCCCACCGCATTGGCACAAGTGCCACCCTTAATTAAGTGGTGGTGGTGGTGAGCCTGGCTTGGCATTGTGCAGCCAGTGCATCACACATCTCACTGGTGCCAGGTACTGGGCTGGCACATGGAAGCACCCAGGCACCCTGGATCAGTGGCCACGCACGAGAAGGCGGGCATTCAGCCATCAAAACAGGGCAGGTGAGGGCGGGATTGCATGATTGAACTGTCGTTTGTTACGGTGTTATTTCTGTTTGAAGAATATATACAGTAGTGGCACAGCGTGCTGAAACCCTATGAATCCATATAACTCCGATTATTATTTTGAGTTTTGACGATGAATCAGGGATGTTCCATCCTCCTATACGCACCAGACAGGCTACAAAACTGCGTTTATCATGTGCGAGCCTTTTGTGCCTAGTGCAATGGTGCCTGTCCAGAAAAATGTTTTGAGGCGGACATGTTGTGAAATGAGAGGAGAACAACGTTTGCAAAAAAATGATCACCTATGCTGAGGTGCATTTACAGTCAAATATTCACCCAAATATTTTGCATGGAACATTTTGGAACGTTGATTCTTAAAATGCCTTGATACAACATGTAAAGACTTCAACTCATCGGTATTTGATGCAGTTGAAAGTTGAAACTAGCCCTAACTTGGTTGACTATACAATATTCCTTTGATTTGTTCCATGAAAACAATTATGTCAAACTATGTGTTTTGAAATTTTCAGGGCACATCAAATGGTCAAATCGTTTCAAATCCCATGTTCGAACTCTTTGGATCGCAGATGCCTAGAATAACAAACGTGACTTTCTTGAAGATGGCTATACATCAGCATATGACAGTACATCAGCATATGACAGCACATGCAAGCCGAGGGCATACAGACCAGATATCTATCACCCCCCTTTTTCATGCAATTCAAGACATACCACTACTATCCTGTTAAAATTGCCGATGCTAAAAAACTGGTTGAGCCCCACTCTGACAATCGCATTTATTGCGGTCAACTTTGATGCTTTTTGTTTTTCCAATATTTCCAATTCTCTCTCTAAAAGGGCCTGATTTATGCTGAAGACCTTTGCAAGAAGTGATTAATGAGCAGATGGACGTTTGAGTAGTCTGGTGAATGATTTATTAATATATATATAGTTTGCAGTTTGAAATGTAGCATGTATACTATATATTGTTTTAAAAAAAACATACATTCAGGTTCGGCCCGCCAAAATGATATCACGGAAACCAGTCGATAGGCTTGGCTGAAGTTATTGATGGGAGGGAAGCAAGTTTAGGGGGTCCGGGGGCAGAGCAGAACGAACTGGCACAAACATGGTCATGTGGGTGGTGTTTATGGTCTGTGATCTTGCAAGTTTTCCAGGCTGACGTACCAGGTGGCAAATTTCAAGGGGGTCAGAGGGGAAGCTTAGACGTGGTTAGATTTCCCATGGGGTTAGAAAAGCATGCGTGTAATGGTAATGAATTTGCAGCATAAGGGTTAGAAAGGCAACTTAATATAAGGGTTAGGCGTGGTCGTGCTTCAGTCAACAGCGCTTTTGTCTTGTTGTAATAATGTCCTTTGTGCTCTTAAAGTATTTCCTTTGCCTTTATGAAAGGCTTACAGCGCCATACTTTCTGGATTTGTTTTGCCGCTCATGCATGTATCTAGTCTGAGCTTTACAGCGTCTGGATCCGACATATTTGATGTTGTTGTTGAAATTGTTGGTTTCTTCCGATGACGGTTGCAAGTTAAGTGGTGAGAATAAAGGCAATATGTCCAATATATACATTTTCTTTGGTCAACTGAGTCAACTGTGTGAGTTGTGTTTGAGTAGATGCCATGTGTACTTGTACTGCAGGTTGCACTTTGGCTGGGCCACTTATTTTAAGTATGTTTCAATGCCCACGCTTTTGTGATACCCACTGCTTCATATAGCGATGCATTGAAATCTTGGATGACCAGCCAAACTTGCTCAGAATAACAACGGTCAAAAAACATGAAAACATTCCCAATTATCACGGTGATTATTTGACTATGTGAATTTATATGCACAAACATTTCAATTTCAACAATAGCAGTTGGCTATTTTAGATTGTTAAACACACGCCGGTTTGAACACAAATGTTTGTATATCACACAAATGAAAACAGCATAAAACAGCTAGATAAGATCATGATG